AATACCTATTTCAAGAACCAATATAGGATGCAAAACACAGGAGAAATGCACAGATTGCTAGATACATATGAATTGCCAAAACTGAATAAAGAAGATATAAAAATTCGAAATAAACCAATATTGGTCAGTGAAATTGAGGAAGTAATTAAAAACATACCAACAAAAAAAGCCCAGGCCCTGATGGATTCACTGCTGAATTTTATAAGAAATTTAGATAAGACATAATGCCATTATTTCTCAAACTCTTTAATACAACTGAAAGGGGAGCAATATCCTAGAAAGAAGCATTACCCTGATACAAAAGCCAAAGAGGGATCCAAGCAAAAACAAATGACAGGCCAATCTCCCTAACAAACATAGATGCAAAAATGCTCAATATGATACTGGCAAACAGAATGCAGCTAATCATCAAGAAAGTTATACACCATGACCAGAAGGATTCTTCCCAGGGATGCAGGGATGGTTCAACATATACAAATCAATAAATGTAACACACTATATTAACAGAGCCAAGGCACAAAAAATATATGATCCTCTCAATATGTGCAGACAGGGTCCAACACCCACTCATGATAAAAACCCTACAGAAAATTGGAATAGATGGTCTTTATGTCAATCTAAGAAAAGCCATCTATGACAAACCAACAGCCAGCACCATAGTAAATGGACAAAAATTGAAATCTTTCACTCTAAAATCAGTATCAAGACAAGGATGTCCACTGTCACCACTCTTATTCAATAGAGCTCTGGAAATATTAGCCAGAACAACGGACAAGAAAAACAAGAGGAAAGGAAGAAGTTAAATTATCATAATTTGTGCTGGGCATGGTGGTGCACACCTGTAATCCCAGCACTGGGGAGCCTGAGGCAGGAGGATCACTGTGAATTTGAGACCAGCCTGGGCTACACAGTGAGTTCCAGGTCAGTCTCAACTACATAGTGAGACCCTGTCTCAAAAAACCAAAAAAAAAATTATCATTATTTGTGATAACATAATACTCTACATAGAAAATCCCAAAACTCCACAAGAAGACTTCTAGATTTGATAACCAATTCAGTATTATAGATTGATATAAAGTCAACATTCAAAAATCAATAGCCTTCCCATATATGAATAACAAACTCACTGAGAGAGAAATTAAGGAAACAATATCTCTCAAAATAGAATCCAAAAAATGAAATAACTAGGAATCAACCTAACAAAAGATATAAGAGACCTCTACATTGACAACTACAGTACTCTGAGAAAGGAGGTCAAAGAGTATATCAGAAAATGGAAAAATATCCCTTGTTCATGGGTAGGAAGAACAAAAATGGTGAAAATGGCTATACTTCCAAGATTTAATGCATTCCTAATCAAAATTCCAACAGCATATCTCACAGAATTAGAAAAAACAATCCTAAAATTCATTTAGAACCAGAAGAGACCTAGAATAGTAAAGGCAATTCTGGGTAACAAAATAGTAAATAGGAAAGGCAATTTCTGGGAAACAAAGGCAAGGCAGGGAGCATCACAATTCCTGACTTGAAAATGTACTGCAAAGCTATTGTAATAAAAACAGCTTGGTACTGGCAAAAAGGACAGACTTGAGAATCAATGCAACAGATTGGAAGATGCAGAAACAACTCCAGACATACTGAGCCACCTCATCTTTGACAAAGAAGCCAAACACCTTCACCAGAAGAAAGATAGCCTCTTTAATAAATGGTGCTGGAAAAACTGGCTTTCCACTTGCCAAAGATTAAAACTAGACCCATATCTTTCACCATGCACTAAACTAAAATTAAATTGGACCAAAGATGTAAATATTAAAACAAAAACACAGCCAGGCACGGTGGCGCATGCCTGTAATCCCAGCACTGGGGAGGCTGAGGCAGGAGGATCGCTGTGAGTTTGAGACCAGCCTGGGCTACTTAGTGAGTTCCAGGTCAGTCTCAATTACATAGTGAGACCCTATCTCAAAAAACAAAAAACAAAAAACAAAAAACAAAAAACAAAAAAAAACTAAAACTAGAGGTTCCATTTGATCCAGCTATTTCCTTTTTTCTTTCTTTCTTTCTTTCTTTTTTTTTTCTTTTGTACTGGGGTTAAAACTCAGGACCTTGCACGTGTGCAACAGGCAAAGTGCCACTGAGCTAAATCCCTGGCCCTTTCTGCTTCTTAATATTTTCCCGAAAGAATTAAAAGCATCATACTACAGCAATATATGCACACTCATGTTTATAGCAGCACAATTTGTAATAGCTAAATCTTGGAAACAGCCCAAATGCCCATAAACTGATGAATAAAGAAGATGTGGCTATTTTATACTGGAGTACTACTCTGCCAGAAAGAAAGACAAGCTTGACATATTTCTAGCTAAATGGAGCACCTTGAGACCAAACTCTTAAGTGAAATAAATCAGACATGCATGTTTAAATACTGCATTGTTTCTCTGGTGTGAGAAACCAGAATGCAAAACAGACATTGGAAAACAAGAAGAAAATGTTCAAATGAGAAGGGAAACAGGGAGTGGGGAGCGAGAAAAGAAGGAAGGAAGAAGAAAAAAAGAGAATAGAAGGAAAAAATGGAAACAAAGCTTTTTTAAATAGGGAGGAAGAGGGGCTAAAGTGAGGGGAAAAGAATGGGGAAATAAAAAAGAAGCAGATGTAAGTATCTTGTACAGGTACAAATTCCCTATGATGGGCTGGGGATTTAGCTTGCCTGGCAAGCACAAGGTCCTGAGTTTGATCCCCAGTACCAGGGGGAAAAAAATTCCCTATGAAGAGTGTGATCTTCATGTGTATCTAAGATATACCAATAAAAAAAAAAGAAAAAACAAAAATTAAATAAAAGTTAAAGTCAAAAGAAATGTAAATATTTTCTTAGTAATTTTTATATTACAATATACTTAAAATAATAAACTTTTACATATTAACATAAATATTGGGGGTTTTTTGTTGTTTTTTAACTCTATTTTTACAAAACAAAAACATTAATTAAAAGGACAGTGTTATCTTCCATTCTTGCAAATCACCTTCACATATGAGAAGACGCTGGACACCCATGCACCCTGCATTCAGCACGTCACCATACCACACATCACAGCGTATCTGGAGAACTACACTGGATGTTAGTGAATGAGCCTGAGAAAAGCAAGTAAAGTATCAGTGCAATGGTGAACATGGCTCTCACTTCTGGAACTCTCTAGGAACCCCTCGGCCCCACTCTGAGAACTGCTGCACTAAACCAGGGGTTATGTGAGACAGCCTACTGCCAGCTCAGCTGGCGCAGCACACGACCAGGCCTGGAACCTGCAGCCTACCAGTGAATGACCACAGCTCACAGAACAAGGGGTGGGGCCCCAGCTCAGCCCCCAGACTCAGCGCAAGGCCTCTCCACTGCAGACTCTGGCCCAGGATCTTCCTGAGGCAAGGAACCCAGCTTGGGCTGATCCAGCTAGGTGGGAAGTACCTGGTGGCCAGGGACCGACTTGCCTCCTTCAAGAGTCCCCACAACTACCAAAAGTATCTTCCTTGGAGCTGCTAGACTCCACATTCCAGGGTGCAGGGCAAGGCTCAATCTCTAGACAGGGGTAGTCCAGGGCCTCAAGAGGGTGGGTGGCAAAGTTAGTGATAGAAAATCTCTCCTGGGTGCAAGAAAAGCCACCTCCCATTATTCTTTCATCCTCGCTGTGCTCCCTCTGGCACTCTGTCCAGGTAATGAGGCTGAACCCAGGACTTTTACACTGAACTACATCCCTAGCCCTTCTTCTATTTTTTATTCTGAGACAGGGTCTACTAAGTTGCTAAATTGCCCGGCCTGGGCCTGAAATTTCAACCCTTCTGCATCAGCCTCCCAGAGTATCAGGATAACAGATATGCATCCTTACACCCAGCTCTAGGTTCAACTCTGGTCTGTATTTTATTAGTTGTGTGACCTTGGGAACCTTGCAGAGTCTATCATTTGTAAAATGGTTATAATACCTCGTAGAGTCATGAAAGGACATAAACTGCATGAATAAGGAAATAAACTCTTGTCTAGGCTCTAAAACCTAACAGACATTCTACAAAAAATAGTGAGAGGTCTTACGCTGTTACCTCCATACCCTCTGCCCTGCTTGACTCTCAGCCTGAGCACAGCCAATTCAAAACAGATTAACAATCCCTTTTCTTTCTCCCTAAGTACAGCTGAGCCGGGCTGAGATTTTTTTCCGAGAGGAGGTGACTAAGGAGAAAGAGGCATGAAGTGATCTCATCTGCAGTGAAGGCTTCCTGCCCTGTAACAGCAGACAGTGGGGACAGCCAGACTCTTCACTCACTCTCTCCAATGTCTTGGGCACCTTCCCTTCTCTGTCCTTTCTCCTGCAGGCTTAGAGGTCTTAGGGATGAGTAGCAAAGCCCTGCATCTTTACCTCATGCTCTTCCTATAATGGCTTCTTTCTTTTTCTGGGTCACACAGGTTACACCGGCTTGGCTAATGCCCCCTTCACCCAAATGAAGAGGACTGGTGGGCAGCTGGCTTTGTCCAGGGCACTTAAGAAGCACAGACCTCAGCGCACAGATCCATAAAAGCTTCTCTCTCTTTCTCAGACCACCTCATGCTCCCTGATATCTCCAAAGCAAACACATGTTCTCCTCCCTCCCAGCACCCCCAGGAGCCCACTCAGTACACTGGGTGAGGAAGAAGGGAGTGATAAGCTCCCCTGGTCCCATTCTCCCACACCTGGCTTCCTCTGCTCGCTGTTCACAGCCGCTGCCTGCGCCTTTAAGAACTGCCACCCAGTGCCAGAATCTTAACCTCAGCACCCTCAGCTGAGTTGGATTAAGGGACCATTTCATGCCTTTATGAATTCTTCCTGGCTGCTATCCCTTCCTTTACATGAAGACAAAGTAGCCAAGAACCCAGACAGGTCTGCGGTGGGTAGGCCTTTCCTTTTGGGAGTAGTTCCTTTAACAGGAGCTTTGGTGGGCAGGGAGTGGGCCCTTGGGGGTCTTGGGCTGTCACTGAGACTGCAGAAAGCCATCCAGAACCCTGGGCCATGAAGGACTACTCAGATGTAATCCTCTGCACAGAGGTGACAGAACTGAGCAAGGTAAGGGCCACACAGAACCACTGTCCCAAGACCCAGTGTCCCCAATGGACACACTTGCCCTTAGCTCTCAATCTTCTACCCCCAGACTGAATTCTACAATCCTGCTTTTGAGCCTGAAGCAGGACCACCTTGTCCTCCTGCAGCCTCACAGCAAGATGCCAATTATAGCATCGGAGCTGCCTGGCACGGTAACCATCTCCAGGGACGACCTGGGCCTAGTACAGGGGCCCAGGAAGTGAGGACAGTGTGAGGGATGCCCAAGGGGAGGAGCTCTCCAAAGCCCACCCTGACTTCCAGCAGGCCGGAATGCCCGAGGGATGCAGCCCGACTACCACTTCTCTTGGCTCTGCGTCTTCCTGCTCATCCTCCTGCTGATCCTGCTGCTTGGGTTTCTGGTGGCCATCGTCCTGGTCCGTAAGTACTCCAGGGCTTCTGGGGAAGAGAACCTTAGACTAGGACCCCATATCGATGAGCCATTTTCCCCACACCCAGGGATCCAGCACCCCTGAATGCTGCTTCTCTATCCTCCTGTCCCCAGAGTTGCAGGCTGCACCCCCATCCGGGGCCACTGAGAGCCCACAGTCCACCACTGGCACCACCCCTACCAGCACCACCACCACATCCCCAGTAACTACACAGCAGCAGCAGGCAGGCGTGAGCCCCCCACACCAGGCCTGTGAGTACTAAGGACTCCTCTTCTGGAGAAGTCCTAAGACAGCAGCAATGGGGGAGGCCAGAAAGAGACACAGTGGGGGAAAAAGGACATCTGTCCTTGTGATCTCTGAACTCTCTCACCCCTATCTCTGCAGCCTGTGGGGGCCTCCTTCCTGGCCCAAAAGGCTTCTTCAGCAGCCCCAACTACCCAGACCCTTACCCACCCAACACGCACTGTGTGTGGCATATCCAGGTGGCCACAGACCACACAATACAGCTCAGGATTGAAGCTCTCAGCATGGAAAGTGTGGCCTCTTGTCTTTTTGATCGCTTGGAAATCTCCCCACAGCCTGACGGCCCCCTTCTCAGGTGGGTTCCTCTACCCTAGGGAGATCCTCACCCTTCAGAAAGACAGAACCAGGAAGCTGCAGCAGAAAGGCTGGACTGGGCTCCCACTGTGCCACAATCTCACTGTGTGGCCTAGGGAAGTACACTGCCCCTCTCTGACCTCAGTTTCCTAATCTGTAAAATAGAACTCCGGCCTTTCCTGTTAGCAAGTGCTATAGGGCTGGAATGTGCAGGGGCTGGAAAGATCAGAGCTCCCTAGAAAATTAAAGAAGCCTTTCTCACCATATTGACCCCAGTCCAGGGGTTGAGGAAACAGTCACAGGCCCCAAGCAAGCTCCCCTCTGGCTGGCCCTGAGCTCATGACCTCTCTCACCACTCCCAACATGGCTTCTTGCAGGGTCTGTGGGAGGGTACCTCCACCCACACTCAACACTAATGCCAGCCACCTCCGGGTGGCCTTTGTCTCTGATGGCAGTGTAGAAGCATCTGGTTTCCAAGCCTGGTACCAGGCTGTAGCCCCTGGGCATGGTAAGTGACTTCCTGCCATCTCCCCAGATGCCTGTTCCTTCCCCTCCCGCCACTCCCAGTACTGCCAACAAGAGAAGAGAATGGGAGGTTTCTGACCCAAATGCCTGCCCCCAGGGACCTGTGCCCAGGATGAGTTCCCCTGTGACCAGCTCATCTGTCTGCTACCTGAATCACTGTGTGATGGTTTTGCCAACTGTGTGGATGGCAGTGATGAAGCCAACTGCAGTGCCAAGCTCTCTGGTATGGGCCCCACCAGGTGCAGGAAGGGTACCATCTTCAGGCATCAAGTCCAGGTTCCAGCTGGACTCCCAGCTCAGATCCAGCCCCAAACCCCAGAGCTCCCACCAGCATTCCCTGCCTGGTCATTCTTTTGACCCAGAACTTATATACCCATAGGATCCTCCTATCACCAGCCCCACCAAGTGGAGGACCAGGTCCTGGCCTCTCATGAGCTCTTCCATTTCTCTTCAGGGTGTGGGGGGAACCTGACTGGTCTCCAGGGCACCTTTTCTACTCCTAACCACCTGCAGCAGTACCCTCAGCAACAGGTAAGTGCAGGGCCTCAGGGAACTGCTGTGGCACACAGGGAGACATTGCAGCACCCAGGCTAGTGCGACAGGAACAGCATAGTAGATATTGCCTTGTACTTGGGAAGGTCGGCAGGGAACATTATTAAGTACCTACTGAGTACCCGGTTACCCATGCTGGGTAACTCATCCATCTCTGAGACCACAACTTCAAAGCCCTTTCCTACATTAGGAGCCACTGATGATGGAGTTAGGTGAGCCGTGGCCAGCTGGAGACCCAGCTTGGTATGGGAGAAGAACCCCATGGGATTACTCCATCTGTGTCCTCCCCCAGCTTTGCACCTGGCGTATCTCAGTACCAGCGGGACATGGCATAGAACTACAGTTCCTCAACTTCAGCCTGGACACCCAGGATGGGTGCAAGTTTGACTACATAGAGGTGTATGAGGCCAGCAGCTCAGGTGCCCTCAGCCTCCTGGGCAGGTATGGAGCCAGGGAAGGGAGAGAGGCCAGCCCCATCCTCTCGGAAGTCTGACTTAATGGCCCCCTCTCCAGGATGCCCTTCCACAACCCTGTCCCCACCCATATTCTGCCACTCTGTGGGACCACTGACATGTCCCCACAAAGCCACACTGATTTTTCCCATCTCAAGTGGCTCAAGTGCTAAGAGTTTAACATTTTGTCTACTGAATATGTCGGGTCCTTCTCACCAGAGCGTAAGTTCTGTTAGTAAGTGACTATGTCTGACATTACCCCTGGACAGATGGGCACCCAGCTAAGAGCCCCAGAAGTTGGCCAGGGGGCCCATGCCCAGGACAACTCTCTGCTCTGGTCAGGTTCTGTGGAGCAGAGCCACCCTCCCACCTCGTCTCCTCACACCAGGAACTGGCTGTGCTCTTCAGGACAGACCATGGCTTCAGCAGTGGGGGCTTCTCAGCCAGCTACCGGGCTTTGAATGCCACAGAGAGTAGGTGCCCCTGGGTGGGCAGGTGTGGGTAGCAGAGGAACAGAGATGGGCTCTGGACTTGGTCAAGGCACGTGGAGAACAGTGGAGGAGAGGTGTGTCCCAGACTACTGCCATGCCCCCTGTGCTTACAGACCCCTGTGGGCCCAGAGAGTTCTTCTGCCAGGATGGAGGGTGTAGGGATCTGCAGTGGATGTGTGACTTGTGGAGAGACTGTGCAGATGGTGGCAAAGACAACTGCAGCAGCCCCTTGTTTCCACCCCCAGGTGAGGAGCCTGCCCCTAACACTGAATAAGGCCCGCAGGCCCAGGAAGACTGAATATGCCCAACTCACAACTCACAGAAACCCTGCCAAGCACACTTCCCAACATCCCCTGCCCTCCTCCCTGATTGGGGTGGAGAGCCAGCTGGACCTCACATTTCTGACTCTGGGCCACTTCACAGAGTCCTAGAGGGACTTTCAGCTGGAGGAGCAGTGGTAATTAGTGTCACCTCAGAGTGACATGGTACTCTGGAAATCAATGATTGGGGCTTTTTGGATGAGCCACCCTGTTTCAGTCTCCCTCCACAGCCCACATCATAGAGGAAGGTGAGATGTTTTTTACCTGAAAAAAGGAAGTTTCTTCTAGAAATTTCCCTGCGCGTATGGGTGGGTGCCTCATGTTCCATGAGATCAAAGAGGTTTCTCCATGACATGCAGGGCTGGAGCAGGCTCGTGAGGAGGCAGCAGGTGTATGCTGCACCTCTCCTTGCTATCTCCTCGGGTTCTCACAACCACTCCCATCCGACCCAGTGGCAGTGAGATCCCAGAGCACTGAAGTGGCCTGTCCCCATGGTGATCCTACTCCCCATTCCTGCAGCACTGGTCTGTGAACCAATCCAGGTAGAGATGTGTACAGGTCTGAGCTACAACACCACAGCCTTCCCGAACATCTGGGTGGGCGTGGCCACCCAGGAGGAAGTGATCGATATCCTCAGAGGCTACAAGGTGATTGAGCTGAGGCACAGACGAGTGGGGAGGCCACTAAAAAGGGAGGGAGTCTGAGGAACAGGTAGCTGAAGCCAACCTCTTCCTCCTGCAGAGCCTGACAAGTCTTCCCTGCTACCAGAATTTCCGGAAGCTCCTCTGTGGGTTGCTTGTGCCCCACTGCACCCCACTAGGCAGCATCCTTCCCCCTTGCAGGTCTGTCTGCCAGGAGGCAGAGCGCCAGTGTCAGTCTGGCCTGGCCCTACTGGGCACCCCTTGGCCCTTCAACTGCAACAGACTGCCTGAGGCCGCTGGCCTGGAGGCATGTGCCCAGCCCTGACCCCAAGCCAGCCCTGTCCTCTGCCTGCCCAGCCTCCTTTGCCTGGGTGGGTGGGCAGGACCTTTGCTGGGGACTCTGCACATCCCAGGGAGGAGGATGAGTCCCCCACCCCTAGCTTAATGGGACCTCCCACCCTCACCTCCTTCCCCGACCCTTTATTTGCCAGAGTGGCCACAGGGGCGCCACTGGACAATCTAGACAGTTTTCCCATGGAGTCTCTGACCTAGATTTTCCCTCCTCTGCCTTACCCTCTTCCGTATGCCTTTTCAAGTGTGTCACCTGCCCTTCAGTTTTCTCATTTAGTCACAAACTGTAGCAAATGCATGCCTACCGATGTGGCAGGCCCTGTTGTAAGCCTGGGGTCCAGCTGACTCTCTGCTGGTCCAGTTGTCCCCAACTAAAGTCTTGTCCCCGGCCTCTATCACTACACCGTCTCTCTCTCTCCCGCCTCTGGGAATAGGAGGAGCCCTGAGTGTCTCACGGTTCAGCCTCTCTGTACCCAGCTCAAGCCTTCCTCCCCCTCATCTCTCCCCCCAAATTTTGGCCGCCCGCCGGGCGACACCACGAGTTATTTCCCTGCTATTTCCCGGCCGGGAGCCCTGAACAACTGGTTTCCTCTGGAGTCTGGGAGGAGCGCAGGGGCAGGGAGTGAACCAGGGCAGCACCAGGGGAGGAAAAGGGCAGAGGGTGCTTCACTGGGGAGAATCTCTGGGGCAGGAGCAGGACCAGCTGGAGGGTCTAGACAGGGCAGCGCCCAAAGGAGCCCATCAAGAGCGCCAGCAGCCGGGGAGCCGGTTGGGGGTGAGTCGGGCGAAGGGGGCGGGAGGAGGAGGGGGCTGCGGGATGCCTGGGCGCCAGCGGACAGGGCTGGCCTCTCCTTTGCCTCTCGCCTGTGCCCCAGGGCTTGGGGGTCTGGGGCAACCACAGCTTCACTTCCTTGCGCGGCTGCTCAGCTTCGGGCTTGCAGGGAGTGGCAGGGGTGGGAACCGGCGGTGCTGTTACCGCTGTTACAGGGTGGAGAGCGAGAGGGCCCTGGAATTCTGGGTCCCGATTCCAGCCCTGCCCGGCCCACAGACTGCGAGAGGACTCGTATTTGGGCTCCAGGTGCCAGTACCATGAGGCTGCTCCTCGCCCTGCTGCTTCTGGGCCTGGCGTTCTGCTCGGCCCCGCTGGACGACAACAAGATCCCCAGCCTGTGCCGAGGCCACCCCGGCCTTCCAGGCACGCCAGGCCACCACAACTTCCCCTACACCTGACTTAATATAATTTTTAAAAACAGTTCACAGATATTAAATTCTATGTGAATAACATTCATTGGGCCCTCGACTCTTGAGCCACCCTAACTAGGAGACGACATAAGAGAGAGAAAGGGCACTGTCTCCCTACTCAGAGACTCTAGTTTTAAGGTTCTGGCTATATGTGCTTTGGAGAGTAAGTAACTCTGGGGAAAATTACTTCATCTTCAGGCCTTCCAGGCACGCCAGGCCACCACGGAAGCCAGGGCCTGCCTGGACGCGACGGCCGCGATGGCCGCGACGGTGCGCCTGGTGCTCCGGGAGAGAGAGGCGAGGGTGGGAGGCAGGGTAAGAAGGCACCTTCGTCTTGGTCCCTGGAATTCCCAGTCCAACTGCTCCAGCTCTCGGGTGGCCTCCGGGCACGCAGGGTTCAGGGCTCCCTCAAGGGGGCGCTGCTCTCCCCCATCCCTCTCCCCTCCATCCCACCTCGGAGCTGCAGCGGGATGGAGGGTAGGGAGTGCCTCAGCCCGCACTCCGGGGACCCTCTTGGCCTAGCCCCCCAAATCTTGCCCAAGCCCTGTAGAAAGCCAGAACAGAGTACCTTGGCAGAGAGAGGCACAGCCCTGGAGGTGGTGGCTGGGAGGGCTTAGAGACAAAGGGAAGGGAGGCGGTCCTTGGAGGCTCCCTCCTGCACCCTGCTGTGCAGTAGTTCAGCAGCTCTCTGCACCCTAATCATGCCGTCCCGCACAGGACTGCCCGGCCCGCGAGGGGAGCCCGGACTGCGAGGAGAGGCTGGCCCCGTGGGGGCGGCTGGACCTGCGGGGGAGTGCTCCGTGCCCCCGCGCTCCGCCTTCAGCGCCAAGCGCTCAGAGAGCCGGGTGCCACCGCTGGCAGACGCACCCCTGCCCTTTGACCGCGTACTGGTGAACGAGCAGGGACATTACGACGCCGCCACCGGCAAGTTCACCTGCCAGGTGCCCGGGCTCTACTACTTTGCCGTACACGCCACCGTCTATCGGGCCAGCCTGCAGTTCGATCTGGTCAAGAACGGCGAGTCCATCGCCTCATTCTTCCAGTTTTTCGGGGGGTGGCCCAAGCCAGCCTCGCTCTCGGGGGGCGCCATGGTGAGACTGGAGCCCGAGGACCAGGTGTGGGTGCAGGTGGGTGTGGGTGATTATATTGGCATCTATGCAAGCATCAAGACAGACAGCACCTTCTCTGGATTTCTCGTCTACTCCGACTGGCACAACTCTCCAGTCTTCGCCTAGTGCTTGCTCCCTGGCTCCTAGAGGAGGGTCCACACTGACCCCACATCCAGGAGGGCTGGCCCCTGGGACATTGTGAACGACTAGAGAAGTGGAGCAGGAGGTCCCTCGGCCCTGCTGCCAGCAAGGAACGGAGACAGCAAGCAGCATGAGGCTGTCTTTCTGCCCCAGACAGGAGCCTACTGTACTGGCAAGTGTGGGTCCCCGGCTGCTCAGGTCCAGAACTCCAAGGTGGGGTGCTCTCCTCCCAGTCTTCTGCTTCCTCTTCCATCCCTCCTCTCCCAGGGCCAGCCCTTTACTCAAGATTCCCTCAATAAATCTAAAAAACCCTCCTCCTCCTGGCTTCAGCCTTTCATTAGCAGCCGAGATGCCCTGTTACTGAGGATCGCAGCAAGGGTAGGTAACAGGCAGAAGACAGGATGGAACCACGAGGCACAAGACACAGGAAGCAGCCCCAGGGTGTGAGCGCCTGCTTTACAGAGCTGTCACTAGTGTGCAGACTGTGACTGGGAGTGCCTGACTGTGGGGTAGGTCCTCTTGGTGAGGGGCTCTGGCCACCCAGAAAAAGGGGCACATTTCTAACTCCAAAAACGCCATACCTGATGGAAGCTGCCTTCATTGCACATACCCACGCCCTGACCCGACAAGAAAGAATCTAGAACTTTCATTCATGGCTGCTTGCCTGGGCCCTAGATGACTGGAAAGCTATTGCTCCCACACGCTCTCCAGGCCTGGTTGTCCTAAGTAGTTCCTGAGATGGCCACAAGGGGGTATGCAAGCTCCAGAATGCAGCAATGACTGGGTAGCTTCAACTGGGAATTCCTGGGGGAGGTTAAGAGGAGAAAGGGTATTAAAATCTGCCAAAGGAATTTCAGATGGGATGCAGGAAAAGGGGGTCCTTTGCTCCCAGCTCAGGAAGTTTATCTAACCTCATAAAGTGTTTATGCCCACATTAAACAGGGCTGCACGAAGGAACGAGAAAGAGCCGCCCCTCCCCTCACTGTGCAGGACACAGCCTGGGTGGGCTGAGCCACAAAGCTCCTTGAGGCTCACCTCCTGTGCCACCTCCAGAGCCCAGCCCTGCCCTTGACCCAACCTAATACCAATAAACCCCGGCTTTGCCCGTCTGTGTGCTCAGCCTCTCAACCCGAGTGGAGGGGCCTCTCCTGAGTTCTTCAGGACTGACCCTTCCTTTCCCGGTTCCAAACGACAGTCCCTCCCTCATCAGGCATTGTGGCGCACGCCTGAAATCCCAGCACTTGGGGGGGGGGCGAGGCAGGAGGATCGTCATGAGTTCAATGCCAGCCTGAACTACACAGCAAGACCCTGTCTCGAAAAAAAAAAAAAAAAAAAAAAACAGTATAAACCAAATGACAGTCCCAGCCATTGTCCTCCTAGATGTAACATACAATTATGGGGAGGTGCCCCTCCTCTTGCTGGTCATGTGAAGGCAGCTTTGATTAACAGGGCCTGGGCCCCCAAGGGCTCCAGATAGGCCTCAGGCCTCCTAGGCGCCAGCTCCCTACTCCCCACCGGGTCCCTCAGCCATTCTCCAGCCCTTCACAGTGCCCAGATCAGTGCCAAGAGACACAAAGACAAGCACGGGCTCCTACAGGGATCAGAGGGTGGGGGGACTTACAGTCCCTGTGAAGGCAGACTCCAGTTAAGAAATTCACATTCTGCTCCACAAGCACATAATTAGGGAGAGGTTGGGGGGACACGGAGACTTGGGGAAGGCTTTTCCAGACCTGTGATCACGAGGACAAATCAGAGGGACAGCTAACCCAGCCCCACCTGGCATGGACTCTCCCCTTAGCACAGAACTCTCTGGAGACCACACTTCTACTGTTAACTCCAGCAGGATTCAAAGACCCTGCTGCCATGCCTGTAACTTGACTAGCTGCCCACAGGGACACACACAGTCAGAGCTATCAATCTAACTTTATTCATCAGAAAATGGGCAGATGGATCCCCCAGGGAGCTACATGCCCCTAGGCCCTGGCTCCTTCTACTTGGACCCTAGTGAAATATGCCCTCCCCAATGCCAGGGAGAAACAAAGGAAGGAATGCCACTGTCTTATGTGATGTGGGGAGTGAAAGGGGAGTGAGTAGAAATTTGTTCACCTCTCCTAAGGCTCCCAGTAGAGCTCAGGTGCCCCGGTATATATGGTCCCAAAGCCAGGTGGAAATGCACCCCCACACACACCAGGGGTAAATGCCAGATCGCAGCTTTTTTATCAGTTTGGGAGGGAGCCTCCTAAGATCATGACAAGCAAAAGTGGCTCTATGGGTACCTGAGAGATTCAACCCTCAAACCAGTAGGGCTGAGGGGTTCTGGATGAACACAAAGGTTCAGGATCATTCCCAGGCCCATGAGTTGCCAAAATACCCAAATGACACTGATGTGCATGGCTGCAAAAGCTGGGCAGTGGGCAGGAGGGGGAAAGAGGCAGAGAAAGAAACTACAAATCCCCAACAGAAAAACCAGAAGCAGAGAGGGTCTGGACCCAGAGGCTGCCATCTGAGTGGGCCCTGGGTCAGCCAGAGGAGAGCACAGCCAACAGTAACAGGGCCCTTGCATAGTGACATACTCACCACCCCCAGCATTACAGGGACCCATCAGGAACCGAGAACTGTGTTAACCTGCCCCCCTAGATGCAGTCTTCCAGACTGTGCCATGTGCAAGCAAGTCCTGGATATATGGCTTGAGGCCTGGCAAGAAGCCATGGGGGTAAAAGGCGATTCAGGACAGGACCAGAGGTGAGGCGTTGATGCTGTCCTAGCGCAGGCGCCTGTGCAGAGCATGGAGGGTGGTGGGCAGGGAGGGCATCTTCAGAGGTAGACATTGAGAGTCTGCAGGATACCCCGGCGGCAGAGTGGGCAGTTGCGGTGGTAGATGGGGTGGCGCATGAGGATTTCAGTGCAGGCCTGGCACAGGCACAGGTGTCGGCAGGGCAAGAGCAGCACAGTTTTGCTCTGGTCCTGGCAGATAACACACTTCTTCCGCTCCTCTTGCTCTTTCAGCAACTTCCACGGGTCTTGCCCAGCTATAGCCTCCTCCTCATTGAGCCTCTCCCGGCCCCGGGCAGGTGTTGCTCTGATGATCCTGACCACCTCTTCTTCTGCCTCTGATCTGGGAGCTCCTTCAGGAAGGATGTCTTGTCCTGGGACCCTGGCCAAGAACACCCTCCTAGGGCCACCTTGGGGGGCTCCAGGTGCCCCACCTCGGTTTGGCCAGCTTGCCAGCTGGAGGCTCCGACTCCAGACTCGGCGCCAGGCTTCTAATCCCAGTGCTAGGCGAGAGAGCCGAACAACATCCTCTCGGAGCCGGTGATAGGACGGCCTGGCATGGAGCTGACTGAGCGCTCGGGTGGCCAGCCTCAGTGTGAGGTCCGGGTGAAGCACAGTCACCATCACTGCCAGCACGCAAGCCAGCAAAGCCAGGCCAGTGAGATTGACAAGCACAAAGCTAGCCAGGAGGCGGGCAGCTGAGGCCAACAACTCCAGTACTAGCTGGCAGGGGGTCCAAAGGAGGATGGCCATGGCCACAGCACTGCTGGAAATGTGGGCTAAGAAGGCAGCCACAATGTCCGTCATCCTCCACAGAGGTCCCATCACCACGTCCCACAGGGCCAGCACCAGGGAGAAAAGGTTCTGAGTGCCAATGAGGCAGATGTTGACCAGACTGTTGATCACGTAGGCCACCAGGCTCATGGCAATAGCACAGATGTCACAGGCCTGGCGCAGCAAAGCATGTCCACAGGACACCACATTGAGGACACCCCGGTGCAGGATCTCACGGCTCCGCAGAGCCCCATGGGAGGCCAAGTGCCCCAGGAGCTTTAGGCTCTCCAGGCCGGAGTAGCAGCTGTACAGCAGGGTACACAAGGCCTGCAAGCCTCCAAAGGTGAGCCTTACCAAAGCTTCAATCAAAGCCAGCAGTGAAAGCACAACACCACGGCCCAAGTGCAGAAGACTAGTCAGTACTGTGTGCGGCAGGTTGTAGATGAAAGCCAGGAGCCAGGCCAGGGAAGCCAGAAGGGAGGACACCAGGAGGAAGTTGAGATCCAACACAAAGGTCAGCATGTCCAGCACCAGGCCCACCCCGTTCAATACCAGGTACACAGCCTCCATGATGGAGCTATGGAGGCTAGTCCAAAAGGAAAGGCTGGCTCCTAAGTTGAGGGCGCTGTCAAGGTTGTCAATGTTCCAGGGAGTCAAAGATTCATCTGGAAGGAAAGTGAACAGTCTCTAACCCAGGGGGTTAGATCTAAGGAAGAGGTGGGCTAAAGTAGAGTCCTAGTAGAGGCAAAGGCGGTCAGGCGCCGCTCCAAGAGTACTGGTTTTGAAAGCGGGCTGGTTAGGAGCAAAGAGGCTGAACATCTCTAAAGTGAAGGAGAGCCCGAGCTGCAGGAGAGAACTCAGGCTTGGGGGCCTGGTGTTGCGTACCACGGCCAGGTAAAGGGTCAGACCTGGAGGAGAACGGGAATGGGCGAGATGGGATTCCGCCGGGGCCGGGGCCGGGACCGGGTGGGGGCGGCGCAAGCTGGGCGAGGG